TTATAACATTTAATCTATTCATCGTTACAATATTGATTAGCATTCAAACTTAACAATGACGTGGAGTAAAACATTGAATACGGAAAATCAAATGCAATAAAATAATATAAAATAATTAATACAAATATAATATTATATAAACAATAAAATCATTTTCCCGGAAGATGGATTGGAAATGGTAGAGCAGTATAATGTCCAACGAGGTTTCTGGACCTATCGCCAAGTAGCTACATTACTTACTTGACGTCATTTCTAAAAGTGAAATCAATTCATCTCAACATTTACAATAAATACTACAAAATGCATTCGGAAGTATAAGAAGAAAGTTTAAAGCGCTATAAATAAAATTGAAAGAAAAATAAATTTGTTCAATAGGGAGGGTGGTAACCCTTTCGAACATTCACAACATTAGAAACTGGCGTGTAGAAGTTGATTTATTTATAATAACAACGATTAATATTATGCATATTATTAGATCGTACACTGAGATTTTAAATTCACAATAAAAAAGTTAGAAATAGTATCTTTAAATATCTGACCTGAATATTATTAATTTGAATCTTCCATTGGCTCGATTTTCCTTATTCAATGTTAATTAGCGCTGATCAATATTGTTGCGATGAATATAATCAGATTAAATAATTTAAGAAACCAGTGTCGGATTTGAAATTATTGTAAATAATTTGGCACTAAGTGTCAACTTATGCACTTGGCAATAAGTGGCACATCATTGTACTCATACCCAAAACAAAAAAAATATAAAGTGTGGCATATCATTGTAGTCAGGAGATCGAGTTGTTTCAAAATCTGAAATAAAAAATGCAGGTCCGTATTTAAAAAAATTAAGTTGGCCTGTGTATCTTAAAAATTATCAGTTAATTTAAAAATTTAAAAATACTATCAGATAGCCCTAATAAAGTGGCTATGAGAATGAGCAAGTAGTTTTTTGATTTTCTAAAACAACTTTACAACCAAACCAAAAATCTGTTTTTTCCAAAAAGCTCAGCAATCCTTCAAATTTTTAAAACTTTTTTGATTTCATCTTGGTGAACATCTCAATACGCAACTTTGCCCCAATTTAACCATGTTCGTATCTATTACGGTTACCGAAGCACCAATGCTCGTACCTCGAATTTGTAGCACCCTGTATATCTATATCTCTGGGATATCGGGCGATATATTTCATAAATAAACGAATATGCTTTCCGAGCGATTTTTAGGATGTATATTTCCCCCCTCTTGCGTTGCGGTGCCCGCAAAGAAAACAAATCGGCGCGTGGCGTGTGTTTTACAGGGGCGGCTTGTCCTACGAGGCAGATGAGGCAGTGCCTCACCAATACATTTGAAAAATTACACTTATTAATCAATACATCTTTAATCACAATTTTATATTTTTTTCCCTATTTGCATCAATAATAATTGTAGTTTTTAACCGTCATTCTACAATAAATTACGTCGATGGTATTCCTTTAAAGGCGCTTCCTTTCCCATATGCGACAAACTCGACGATGTATATCCATCTCATTAGTTCTTTAAGAAATATATGTGCAGAGGTTTGCCTCTCGCCTTTCCTTGTCTAGCGTATTGTGGTATATCGCACTGACGGAGCGACAGCGTTCACTGGAATCTTAACTCTATAGAATGAAAAGAAAAAGCATAGGCAAAACCTTAGTTGATGAGAGATAAAATGTATGGAGTAGTAGCGCGTAAAAAGACCGTATTGAGGCGAGCCTCAAATGTAAATTTGAACCTTAAAAGCCGTTCGTTAAAAATATGTATCACTTCCCGATCAGTTCCCGATCAGTCCGAGAGATTTAGGCGACAGGCTGAAAATGCAGATTTGCATTATTTGGGAATTTGGCTTAGTTTGAATTAGAGTTTGAATTAATTCTGCCGGTTATTACACTGTTTTGTCTGCGTTTTTTAATGTGAATTGCATGTTTAATTACTCTTTTTACTGATTATTGTACATATAAAGTAAATACCTAAAAAGTGGGCAGTGACTTATTTGATATGATTGATATGATGATTTAGAGGGACCATGCAAAATGTCACCGATCGTCATTTCCCAGCCACGGTAATCAATCAGATCATGCGGTATAATACTGCGAATTATATTACATAAGGCTATTTCCGCAACTGCTAAAAATTTGGAAGTATTTTAAATACAAAAATGTGCGCTTTTTAAGTCTGTAGGTATCTAAAATACTAAAAATAATATACAGTGTGTATTGCATTTAAAAAAACTGAGATATAGCATTATAATATTGCAATGTTGGCTGCGCCATAAAAAAATCCCTGTGAATGTGAATTTTTCTCGGATTTCTTCTTTTATCCTACATACCTCGCTATATTATACGTACTTAAGCAATAATATATCAATAAGTTAAATTCACTCCAGGTTTTTACCACTTTTTAAAAGATGACATTTTTCAAATATGAATTATCATGGAAATCCCGCATATATAGTGCTTCAAATAAATCAATAGTGGGATGTATGCTGAATTTTATGCTGAACCCAATTCTGTACAGAAAAATGGTAATGCGATTGCAATTTTAAATAAAATATTTTTTTAGGATATGTACTTTTTTATATAGAACTTCCCCGTACTAATGGCCACCCTATATACATACTAATACAAATTCTCTTCTAATGTGCCTCACCATCTTCCAGTGCTACGAGCCGCCCCTGGCGTTTTACGTGATTCGATATCATTTTTTATTAGATCATAAAGTTCATAAAATTTAGTTCCGTCCATTCGAAAATAATTTGTAAATTTTTCGTCACTTAATTCGTTAAAAAGTGAAAATTCTCCTCGTTCTTTTCGGTATTTGATACGATTAGATAACCATCTTGGTGCTTGTTTTTGGTTACTAACCATAATTGCTAATAAATTGTCGCTTTCAGCATCTGATTCATCTTCTGATGAGCTATCAATGGTATCAAGTAATAAAAAGTCTTTCGGCCAGCGCCATTTTCTACACTATATAGTTCACTAAATCAGCCTACTATATTGAAAAATAAAAAAATATATATATTCAAGTGCACTGCAGTAATAATATAATATAATATTATAGCTTACTGCCGAGCCATAATATATATTATACCGTGCTGGCAACTGTTACTATTGGGTCGGCATTTACATGTGTGGAAGTAAATCGCTAAGGGATCTTATTAAGTCGGAGTGAGAGAAATGCGACCGACCGACGCGACGCACGACGGTGTGCTGTTGCGGCGTTGCCGATACGCCTTTCCCTATCAAGCAATGTAAAATCACGATCGCAAACCGCTTATTTTTAAAAGACTTTTTTTCAAGAGATAACTAGATAAAATCATTAGACATGTTTCTGAGCATCTGAAATGGAATTATAAAGATATCGTTAAGGTGTTATTTTTTTTATAACGAGAAAACGTCAGTAAGCGCGATAATTTAAAAACTCAACTTTTTAACACATAACAGGCCATAACTCAAGAACTATTTTAGATATTGAAACTTTTTTTTATTTTCAAGATCAAATATTTTACAATATGTTTACATAAGAAAAATTCGATAAGGTTGTTTTTTCCATTCAAAAATTGTAAACAATCCATCCATTTACTTTTAGAGCATAGCAATTTTCAGCAATCGTGTAATTTTTTTATTGATAAAGATTTTCACATGCTGTCTACAAAGAAAATACAGCAGAAATATTAACAAAGTTCTTGAAAAAACTACAATCTATTATTTCTAATAGATTTCGAGATATCGATTTTTGAATTCAGAGTTCTAATAGCGCGACCACTATCGAACACTTACTCAATTCCACTTATTTTTACCAAAAATGTAAGTGTTTCTAGCTTGCACTTAAAAAAATTCAAGCTATAGGGAAAATTACAACGAGTCGTTAATAAATAAACAAATAAAGTAAACGCATGACATACACCTTTCCCTAGAACTTTAAGTACTGACAGAGGTATTGATTGGGTCGACCGGTGAACTGCGACAAATCTGCTTATCCCCTTCCACGTCTCTTAGCGATGTGCACAGTCTCTTAGCGATGTGCTCAGTTTCTCGGTTTATTTCATACGTTTGGCAACGTGTTTACTGTCCTCTCTTTGTTCAGTACATTATTAACGCCATTGTACTCTTCTTACATACGGAAATCTCGACCCAAGACTAACCTTTGCCAGCCCTTAGTATTATCGCTCATCGTCCGTAGCCGGCTTAAAACGGTATGGACATTTGCATAAACATAAACGGGATAATCATTTTAAAACAAACAAAATTTTTTATGAAACATGCAGTTTTCTGAAAATGTCAATATTAAAAAAGTTTTTCCTCTTGTAAAGACAATCCGGTTAACATACTGTAGTCAACATATTTATGTTTTGTCAAGGATGACATATATTGATAATTTCCATTCCAAATATCTTGAGACAGTTGCGTGTAGTGATTTGTACCAAGAGATTTTTCTTACGTATAAAACGGCGTAAACTTTTTCACTCAGAATTTTTATGCAGGTACAGACAAAAAGTGATTACTCTTCAAAACACTTAAAGAGCATTTAGGTAGCGCCTTCTATAAGTAGGAATCATATTGACATCAAAATCAAATTTCTCATGTCAAAAAACAGCCAGAAACGAATTTTCATCCAAATATTGACGTTAATTGAGAAATTATTTAGAAAAATCAAAATAAAAATGAAACTTCTAAACAAGTTTTAAACCCTGTGTTTCAAAAAGACAGAATATGAGATGTCAAAATTACTAATTGTTTGTATAGTCCTTCCAATGAGAGGATATATGACAATAACAGTTGTTGCCTGCCATTTTAGTTTAAAATTAAGTTGTATTATCTGTTTTTTTTTACTTTAGCACTAGTTTTAATTTACTTTGTATACTTATTATTAATCAGTAATAAACTAATAGTAAACTCATTATCGTAGAGTGTTTATATTTACTAGGTTGTTTGAAGTATCCATTTTAAAACGTAAATATCCTTAACCAACCACGCCTTTGATAAACACCTAAAATAATTGAAAATTGATTTAAGTTTGAGCGTGTTAACAGGTTAATTAATGCCGAGGATATTAATTAACGTTTGAAGCTCAGGTCGGAATTTCTCCTCGAGAAAAGCTGGCAAAGACAGGGTAAAGAATAAGAGGTAATGTGATTCATGTGAGAGGCGTTTGAGTAGTTAATTATTGTCATATAAGGTAAAAAAGATGTTAGTAAATAATATTAGTATAATTTAGACATACAGGTTGTTTCAAAACACATGTGCCATCTCTCGTGTGGGGAGATTACTCACCTAAAAATAAGACTTATTTTTCATATCAACATGGGATCTGATTCTGCTTTGTTTCGTAACTACTGGGTAAAGTCTTAATCATTTTTCGAATTATCATAATTTACTACTAAGTTACTACATTTTTAATGATATACGTTATATACGCCACACTTTTTTGAAGCACCCTGTATACTCTACAATAATTTTAAAATGTGTATCTTAACCTCCACTATAACTTTTATATTTAACATTTTTTTTGTAAACCTCGAAACAAATGAGATAATGGACTTTACTCTATCGTTGACTCACCCTGTACATTCGTCAAATATTTTGACGACGTGCACGCCAACATTTTCTCTTATTGGCTGTCTATCAAAATAGTAAAATAATGCATGCTTACATACATACACTTAGGTACATTATAATTTCAGAAAAAAAAATTACTTTCTTTTCTATTGGTTTTAAAGATTTTTACATATTTTTTCGAAATCTCTATTTTACGCTTTGGAAATTCTATTTTTAGTTCCTCATTCTTAGTATCTCAGATATAATCCTACATTGACCTCCTTAGCGATATTTTAGTTCATCTCTCTATCATCCGTATAGAGCTTTAAGAAATTATTAATGTTCTCTATGACAGACTTGCTTTAGAGTCGTTCAAAGCCATAGATTTTACATATAATTTTTCTCAATCCTAACGAATCCGCCAACGCAATCAAAGTGGGTAATTTTTAAAAATGAAAGTCGGGTATTAGCATTGTAAAAATAATTTTAGTCTTCCATTTCAATTAATACTTAAATTCTAGGAAAGGCAAAACAAAGTTTTTTTTGTAGTTACTTAAGATCTATTTTATTAACAGTTTTGGATCTACAGCTGATAACCTTTATTATTAGACTACCCTGTTTTCCCGCTTGAGTGAGCGAAAACAAACTATAGTTATTGGATTGAAATATATATATTTTTTTCTAATCGATGAACTTGAATATGTGTAGGTTTAACTGTATTAACGTTAAACTTTTTGAAGAAAAAATGCGGCTAATCAGAAGGATAGACGGACAAAAACAAAATTGAGTTGTACAGAACATGAAAGTGTTCATTTTTTAAAGAAAAGAAAACTATAACTGGATAAAGAGGAATTTGTTTGGATGCTCATTACATGGTTTGTCAAAAAAGACGGATTTTTGAAAATAAGTTTATAAAATTAATAATAACATTAATGCTATACTTTTGATTACATTATATGAAAAATTTGAGTTTAATTTATTATTTTTCTAAATTAAATTTAAACTTTTCTTTTGTGAATTAATGTTTCATTTTCCAGTGGTAACATCAAAGTTCCAGCCCCCAAATGTAATCTAAAATAATGTAGTTTTACAAAATCGTTTAGATATATTTAATAGTGATGGGATAACTCGAGCGAAAATTCGCTCGAGTACTCGATTTTATTGATATGGCCGACATCGCTCGATTATGAACGAGCGGTGCAAGTGACGAGTTACGAGCGACGAACGCAAGCGATCCTAGAATGAAATAAATTGAAATCCGATTTTAATGTGACATACTTGATACAAAGCCGAGCGAATTGTTTACATACATTGCAGGTAGCAATTTATATGATGTTATGATTTGCGTTACAAAATGTTACGACCAACATTGACAATACTTCAAAGTAAACTAAATCAAGCAATAACTCGTCGCTCGTCGCTTGCTATTTGCCATTCATCACCGAAAGAATATTATGCGCTCTGCACACGCAACTTACTGCTTGGCGCTACGAGTTGCAAGTACAAGCGACGGAAGTACAAGAAATCGCTTGAAACTCGAGTACTCAATTATTGAAATTAATGGGTTTTTCCCATCACTAATATTTAATGATTAGTTTCAAATGATACGATTTTCACAATAATTAGCTTTGCATGTTTACAAATGAACTTTAAATCATAAATTCAATTTCGTAGTAAAATTCCATAGTTTTTTTTCAAAATGCTTTTTCATTAAATACAATGCTATAATAGGTAAAATTTCAAGTAAAACTTTCAGTGTATTGTTTAATCCGTCTTACATGACAACCGTCTTGCGAACTTCCGTTAGTTTAACCGTTGATTGGAAGATATGCAACCTAATGGGCGAATTGGTGACAAGGCTGATTTGATTTCCCCTTACGTCTTAAGTGCTGTATGGTGGAGACACCAATCGTTCTGCGGTCAACGCATAAAACACTTATTATCTCTACGGAAAGGAATTTAAAGAATCTTTTTTTATACATAGCTTTGATAATCTGTAATAAACATTTTTTTGTTAAAATGGATATGGTAAACAATGTTTATCGTTCAGACCCAATATTATCACAAATTCTTGCACATTTCGATTTGTGGTCTCTTGGTTTAAGAAGAAATTTGACCATTGTTTTGGCTTTAAAATGCCTAGAAACATTATTTCACAGTTTAATAGAGTCATAAATTAACACTGTCTCAACATGTCTACCGGCAAGTTTCAATAGCTGAAATTGTAGGAGTTAACCAAAGCGATGTTTCGAGGACATTAAAAAAAATCGGGGAGACAAACGAGGTTACAGACCGGCCTGGAAGAGGTAGAAAGAGAGTTACTACTGCTGTGCAAGACCGTCAAATATCCCTAATTGCTCGACGCAATCCCCTGCTTTCTAGTACTGCTATTAAAAATGAGGTGGCTCGCCTTGAAGCAGTAAATGTTTGTAAATGAAGATTACATTTAAGGAGGCCTCTACGTGTTCCGAAGCTTAATTTACAGCACAATATTACGCGACTACAATGGGCTGAGGAGATGAGAGCAAATGGACCTAATTGGAATTTCGTCATGTTTAGTGATGAAACAAGAATAGGCCTAGTGTAAGAACCGCGACGAACTTTGGTCTGGAGAGCTTCTGGAAGACGAGCACGCTTGAATATAGCTCATCCCCGTGTCCCGTTTCAAGGAGGAATCATTATGGTATGGGCAGGTATAATGCACGGAGCTCGAACTCCTCTTGTTTTTATTGATGGCACAAGGGGCACGATATGAGGCACTAAGAGGTGCCTCATATCTTCGAGACGTTTTAGAGCCTATTGTGCGTCCATTGGATAATAATGCTCCTCCCCATCGCACAGCGGTTAGCGAATTTTGTGAGGAAGAGGGTATAAGGGGGGAAAACTGTGGTGGCCACCGATGTCTCCACATATGAACGTGATCGAGCATGCTTGGAACATACTAAAACGCCATATTGTCAAAAGGGTTCCGCTGCGCGCGAAACATGGGAAGCCATTCTTCAACATCTTCTGGACAACTTAATTGACGTCGTCTCACAGCTTGCATTGAGGCTCGAGGAGACAATACAGACTATTAGTTGTGAGGAATAATTATAATTGTTTTCAATATTTTCTGTTTAAAATGAAAGTTGTTTTTGTTGATTTTCACTAATTATGAAATAAAATTATAATAATAGCCTAGTTGTACGTGTAGTAAGCCAATATGTGCATAAATATACAAATATATATATATATTTTTTTTTCTCCTTTCTTGGGCATGGAGAATGTGTGAACGACATTCTTCTATATAGACTGGTGGTAGCAAGGCGGCTGCGGCTTCAAGAATAAAGTGCCTGAGAAAGCCCACCATGATGAGGCGAAACGTCGCATAATAAAAAAAAAGTTTCCATTTTCAATTAATAAAAAAAACCTCATACCCAAGAAAGGAGAAAGATATATATATATATATATATATATATATATATATATATATATATATATATATATATATATATATATATATATATATATATATATATATATATATATATATAAATTTCTAAAGGTTTAAGAAAAAGAAAAAAAAAATAAACTCTTAAATATACAAAGAATCATATTAGGTCCAAAATAAAATAAAAAATATCGTTATATGCAATAATTTTGGCCATGTGTGTATATTGAAGACGGTGTGGATCTGAAAGCGACAGTGTTGCCATATTAAAAGGTGCAATATCTGTAATACGTTTGACTGAAATATCTTTGGATGAAAAATCCGCCCTTATGTATTGAAAATTTATTCGTGTTAAACATAGAATATACAACAAAAATAAAAAATTCTTTTATAGGTACTGAATATGTCGTTTGAACGAAAAAGTCATTTAGTTGGCTTGGAAATGACGATTATCGACATTTATCATAATATTTTACATACAGCAATCTTCGTTTCCAAGCCAACTCTGACGCCGTTCTATGTTTAATCATATAATATTATATTAAATTATTTAATGATTGAAAATTCGTATTATTAACGTACTGTAACCAAAATCCGTAAATCTACGAATTAATCAGTAGTTCTGGCAACACTGTCTCCGGCAACCACTGACTCTGTCGACTGAAAGCAGAACTATTGTACAGTATTCTTTATCCGCTGCGCTGTAATGGATTATCAGAGCGCAGCGGTGCAGACCTAAACAACTAAACTAAATCTCAGAATTCTCGGACAGGCTGACGGTAACGCCAGCTACTACTACTACTACTATCTCGGATAGGTTTGCATCTTCTTATTTCTTTAATCAACGGTTTTACAGATGGTCTTTTTTTTACCTGATACGTAAAACTGGCCGGTAAAACGTTATGTGTAGACGGGACCTTACACACTATTGCCATAAGCAGTATTTACTTTTAGTTATCTTTTCTAAGTTAAAATTTCAATAATGTCAACTATATTTAAAATAATAATAACTATTGTTATGTTATGAAAAAGAAAACTTTGAGCATATTTTAAAATAATTTATAAAATTGCACAAATGTTAGGTTTCTATTATACACTGTTATTATTTCAAATAACCTTTTCTATATATTTAAAATAACATGCGCTTTTTGAACTAAATAAAACAAAGTAAATTTACTATGTTTTTATTTTAAATTGTTGTGTATAATTGT